GTTCTGATGAAATTGCTGTCGATGCAGAGTCCTTGAATGCATTTTATTGTGCCATGGCTGGCAACACAAAATATACCAGTGAGTACTGATCCCATTTCTTATCTTGATGACCTATATTTTCCAGATTCGTTTTATTTTTTTCCAACGGATATCAATGAGGTTAAAGAGGCTCTTCGTGACATCAAGAAGAGGAAATCCTCGGGTGACGACGGAATTTCTGTTGAGGTACTTTTTAAGTTACCTGATTGTGCTCTGGATGGTTTTGCTGATGCAATAAATGATTCATGGACAAGGGGCGTGTTTCCTTCATTTCTAAAGTCAGAAATAGTGATTCCCTTGCATAAAGATGGCGATCAACGAGAACCATCTAATTATCGACCAATTAGTTTGCTGTCTACTGTTTCAAAAGTTTTTGAAAAAATTGTTAAAAAAAAGGGTTTGGCACTACCTCCAGGCGAATAATATAATAACTCTATAGCAATTTCGATTTCAGAGCTCAAAAGGTACATACCTACTCATGATGTCATGTTCAATTTTTTGGAAACTGTTTACCACCACATTAATAAAGGAGATGCTGCGGCAGCGGTTTTCTGTGATCTCTCCAAGGCCTTCGACTGTGTGGATCATGGAATTCTTCTGTCACAGCTTGAGCGTTACGGCTTTAGGGGATCTTCACTCGCATGGTTTCGTTTTTATCTAAATTGTCGAAGCCAATCTGTGATCACATCGGGGGTAAGATCGTCGACGAGATCTGTTGGGTGCGGTGTTCCGCAGGGGTCTGTCTTGGGACCATTGCTGTTTTTATTATATATAAATGATCTTGTCGGGGTGCGGATATCCGGCCAATTCACCATTTTTGCCGACGACACATCAATTGTATGGCGCAATAGAAATGTGGAACAACTCAAGCAAGACATCGCATCTGACCTTATCATAATCAAACAGTGGTGTGATTCTAACCGCCTCTGTTTTAATGTCAATAAAACTAATGTTGTTGGTTTTGGATGTGACATGACGGGTTTGAATCTGGGAGGAAATCGTCTCGAGGACCAGCCCTGTACAAAATTCTTGGGTTTATTTGTCGACGGTGGGTTACGTTTTGAGGTCCATATACTTAGGCTTAGCAGGAAACTGTCATCGGGATGCTTTGCGATTAGAATTGCACACAGGGAGCTTGGTTCGGCTGTGGCTCGAATGGTCTACTTTGCACTGTTTGAGTCTCATCTGAGGTATGGGATTTCCTTCTGGGTTGCAAGTAGTCAATATCTTCTAAACATATTGTTTATTCTGCAGAAGAAAGCAGTACGCTTTATAACAAACATTGGCCGAAGGAACTCTTGTAGACCCCATTTTCGGTCGCAGAATATCCTGACATTATGCTCTTTGTTTATCCTTGAGACGGCCTCACTAATTTATAAGAACAGACTGAGCATCCAGTATCAGGGTGTAACTACGCCTTATAACACTCGGCATTCAGCTGATCTGCCTCTGCCGATTCCATCAAAAAAACTGACCAAAAGGTCACTTATTTATAATGGCAGAAAAATTTTCAAACATCTGCCAATTCACGTTAAGACTGCCAACAGTGTAAAGTGCTTTAGACGGTTACTTAAGGGCATTCTACTGACTAAGGCATAGGCATATTATACCCTGGAAGAGTTTTTTACAGACAACTTTATGTGAGATGTGAGGCTTTTTTATCACTATATGTTATTTGCTTATTTTTTTTATTTTTATTTTTTTTTTGTATTTTGTATTTTTATAGTTCTTGTTCTTTTACCTTTTTAGTTTTAATGATTTCACATTTAAACCTTTTGTTTTGATGTTTTTTAGCTTTAGCAACAAATTTTTTGTTTTAGAATTTTACTGTAATTTAGGAAATTTATAATATCATGCTTTGTCAACAGAAATTTGATTTTCTTGGACAATAAAGTATTTTTTGAATTGATTTGATTTGATTTACGCAAAGCCAGATTCGTACCTATCGCTAGAAGAGCTCAGAGGTGCTGCTCTCGGCGACGTCATCGCCTACGTGGAATCGCTAGGTTGGATGACGAGCTAAGGATGACCTCTCCTCTTGTGGAGGCGCACAATGGGTCTAATGTGGCCTAAGTGCTTTGACATACCATACCACTCTCCCAAACTTACAGATACAGATACCTGGGATCCTGGCAAAATCTGAGACAGGCCAATATCCAGAGGAAAGAGAACGGCTAGGAAGAAGAAGAAGTAGAAATAAGTGGCATTATCGCCAAAATAATTAGTTCACGCAATCGAGAAGTGAATTCAGTGCAAAAGGGTTATAGACGAACGGCACTCTGGAACGTGTTGCATTTTGAAAGGGAAAATACTTAATAATTGCGTGGGAAATGTGAACATCTATTGAGGAAGGTCCTGACGCCACAGCAGCGTTTCGAATACGAAGTTATCCGCAGACTAACGCAAAAAGCTAATTGATGGATTCAGTTCCTTTACACTTTTTTTATGTAAGTACAATAGGATCAATTGGTTGCACTCGTATAGTCCGACAAATACCATTTTAAAGTCACGTGATACTGGTGACAAAAAACGTATGTCCATTGATTATGTCGTTCATATCACCTACAAAATGCTACTGGTGATTAATTACTATTGAATTTTAGGATATGTTCCCACTAGCATTTTACAAACGCGTTTCTGAAGTAGTATTAACCAATCAGAGGGCAATTTTAATATGTACTTGCAATTGTTGCGAGACTCACTTTTGTCGTATCTGCTGTCTGTTGTAATACATTCTGAACTTAAACTGGGTACCCGTTTTCTATTTGCTTCTTTTCGGGTTGGAAAAAGGTTAATATAGTCAAAATTATTAGCTGTGTTTGTTCATTGTATTATTTTCGAAAATAACTTTGACAAACTAATTGATGACAGTGACGGATTCTATTTCAGGTAAGAATATTATGAAGAATAATTAGACAGCAATTTTTTTGTCAATTTTACTATCACCGCTGTTTGAGATGTATTCAACAGGGATAGAGAAAAATCACGTGACTTTAAAATGGTATTTGTTGGACTATAGCTATACCTACAGTGACTCTATAATCCACAGTGGCGACAATTGCTGTCTCATTTTTGATTGGTTCTAAAATCCCATATATTTATATTGAAAACACCGCCATCTTGTTCCCAACCCCTTGTTACTTTTAAATATGAATATATGGGATTTAGGTGAACATTCATCATAAATCATGGAAAACAACGTATTTGATGGACCTAATATGGTCATCAAATACGTCGATTTCAATTTTTTATGATAGATGTCCATTTAAATCCTATATATTAATATTTAAAAGTAACAAGAGGTTGGGAACAAGATGGCGGCGGGACCTCTATTGTCGCCACTGTATGTAAAGGTTTATTTAGCCACTGTAGCTATACCTATTTAAGCAATTGGATATAATTAGAAATATATCACATCAGAATACACAATTCAAAGATAAATATAATAATAAAAAGATTAAAATGTAAGTAACCACAAAACAAGTGCAAACTTTTCACTATCCAAATGGGTTTTATAAGTGCGGACAAGCCACTTTACGAAGTACCCACTTAAACATTTGAATAGAATTAACAATATCACATTAGCACACAATCCAAAGATAATTCCAATAAAAAAAGTAACAAAATAATCACAAAAACAGTGCAACTCATTCCAGGGCCGAATGTATTTTCAATTGGATTAGAAATTTCAATTCAATAATTAATTTGCATGCCAACAGTGAGAATCCTTTCTGCTGACCTCGACAACTGCGTTACGGGATCGTTCTTGGATTGAGAGGACATGGAACAGAATATGTTGCATGTGCCTGTTTTTGTAAATTATTTTAGACTCTGGTAGTCAATAGCCGCATTTACAATGTTATGGAGCAAACACAGAGATGTATGTAAGATTTTATAGATTGATTCCATTAAACGCAAATGTACCTTAACTTGCTGATAATCATATTCTGGGGATGAAACCTCTACTGATTTTGATTCCAGAATTTTTGTTTTAACTTTTAAACGATCAACAATTTTCCGCTTATACCTACAATAATTACCATGGGCATGATCAGGATATGGAAATGCCGTAATTATTGAAATATTACCACAATCAGCATGATTCATCAATTCTTTAGAATTAACGGATTTAACTCAATGTAGAAAGGCCAACCAAGGATAGCGCAATATTGATTACTATTTAACGATTTCGTTATGGTTTTTTTTTCTTACTCATTATTCTATAATGGTATTGACGTGAAAGTATTTATTATCAAATTAATTATTACCTAATAAAAAAATCAGCTTTGTTTATTCAGCATCAAGCAGTATTTTAGCTCATAATTTATTTATTTATAATTTCTGCATAATTTTCAATGTTCGATCCCATAGAAAAGCCAATCATTATTTATAGAAAGATTACATACGTACAATTATTAATTTTAGTAGATTAATTATAGAATATTGATTTGAACTGATAAGTGCAAAGTCAAAGGGAAATCACTATACGAGTTGAGAAAAAAGCAAGCTCTCCCGAAAAATTGGTAGCTACCAAGTTGGTAGTTATACTTTTTTTTAGTTCTATCAAAATCAAAATATTTTTTTCTCAAATCAAAACTACTATCTTGTAAAAAAATAAAGACATATGTATACCTACCAAGCGAAGCGACATTAAAATTATTTAAAGTTATCTACTTCCATAATCCTAGTCATAAACGAAAAAATAGTGTTTAGGGTAAAGTATTCTCGTATAGAATAGGTATCTCGTATATCGAATTTTAATTTAGGCCGGGTTTACCCAATTCCTTAATTCTACATTTTTGTTCTCAATTCTTTAATTTTTAAAAACTAACAAATAAATTGAACGTTTTAAGAACTATGAATTAGGCACAAATATTATAAAGAATTGAGGAAATACCAAAATTGAAAACTTAGTTAAAAGTAAAAATTCAATATTTTTAAAACAAAATCAGAATTCTTACCTTGTTTAAACCTGGATTTTTTAACCGGTCAATTCCGCTCTCGCTTCCAGGGGCAACATTATCTCCGTTTCCCCATTGACCCAGCCTGTCTTTTTCCATGATGCGGCTTTCTAACTGATGGACACCGGTGATCTGCTCTAGATTTGCTTGCCCTGAAATATTTCTTTTCGAATCCTTGGTTGGCACGATGCAACTGCAAAAAGAAACGGAGCCGGTAAGTTACTACGTGCGCACCTTGGCTGGTTTTGTTGTTGAATAATGTTTGTCGAGTAATAAATACAGTGGAAACGTAATCGTATAGACAAAAGCAGGGAAATTTCCTGCTGCTAACGCGTGCGCTTTTCATTCATTGGCAGGGGGGGCTATTTTAAGAGGTCAGTTTAGGAATGGCGTGACGAGAACAGCGTCGCGGCGCGCGACGTCTAGCGATCAGCTGATTTTCTGACGAAATAATTGTGTCGAAACGGTAATAAGTTTCATTCATTACATTACATTACATTCGTCTATATTGGAACTTTAAATACATCATTATACTTAATTGAAACACTCAATCGACACAGAAATAGGTATTACTTCAACTTTCAACAGCTTCATGAAATAACGGTCACTCATGTTCTTCGGCGTATTTGTCACTATTTGGCAATAGTTTCGCTATTATGGATTTTTTATTGCGTAATAAAGTTTACAGTGGAAACTATTTTAAAAGTACCTACAAGTACACTCACATACTTACCCTTCTTTCATATGCTCGCCTGCCCTGCATTGGGGGCAATTTGGCACACAGGACATTCTAGAAATTAATTTTAGAAATTGCTTTTGATAAATAATCAATATTTTTTTATTGAAGTACGAAATTGACATGTTTTGCTTGTCTGACTTTTGTGTCACAAAAACTCACTAAGGATATGTTCAAATATTGCTACACTAAACACTTCTTTGCGGGGTAATGCAGTTTTCAAAAGCTTTTGACGGGTCAAAAATCAATGGTAGAAAGACACTCGTAGCCTGAAGCTGCGTTTTCACGAGACGATTTTAATTGACCGATTAAAGCTGATCAGCAAAAGTTCAATTGAAAAATAACGATCGTGAAAACTTTCGATCAACTTCAGTGGGTCAAACTTCTTTGCTGAAAACTGATGAACGTTTTTATTATAAAAACATATTTCTTTATATAAGCCTGTTTCGTTTTGTTGCTTTATATTAATGTATAAATGGAAGGCAGCGAGAGTATTGAGCGAGTCATTTTACTAATTAGTACCTATTTAATACGGAATAGGTATATTGTTAGGAATTATATCTCTAAAAAATGGGTTTCTAATAAGAACGATATAATTTTGAAACAAAATGAAATTCAAATTATTTCAGATACAACCGTACTTATATGCTTTTCGAATAAAACATCGTTTAAAGGTCCACCTCGACTTTGTCCACTCGAACGAACTCGACGAACAATTAATCGGGCGTGCGATCTGACGAATGCAACGTCCAATGTTCAATCGTAAGGCATCGTAATGCCAGTGGACAGTTGCATATTATCCTTAAAATTATCCGTTCTTCAAACTTTTCTTACAATACTATAGTTTTATACGAGTAGTGTGACATGTGGTACCGAACTCATTTCTCATGATATATGATAATCTTATTTTCTTCTTTTCACTGTGAACATAATTTCTTTTTCTTAATTAAATTTTTGGACAGTCGTTTGATATTTTGTCCACTGGCGCCGACTACATGGGGGCATTGGGGCAGGTGCACCCATGAGCAACCTCTCATGGGTGCGGAGCGCCCATGGGAGCTCTTGGGGGGAATGCGGAAGTACAAACGTGTTTAATGGTCATTCCGTTCCAGTATCAGTATCATGTAATTTTAATTTACATAACTTTGTATGAGAATTATACAAGTGGTCTTGGTATCCTGTCCTTACGTAATTTGTGGTCAGTTCTATGCTCTATTACTTTATGCTGCTATTCTTCATGTCTATTCTTTGATAATAATTGAGACAGTCTGGCACACAACGGGAAGTCTGGCGCTTATGCCGTAAGCCATATGATTTAGTTTTGCGCGTGGGTAGGGATGGCAATGATATATGTATGTATAGATGTTTTGTAAATATAAAAATACAGTACTCTCGCGCTAATGTGAACACATGGCTCTGTGAACCTTCCAGTAGTATGAACGGCCAGAATGAATACAGTACACACGTGTTAATGTGAACACACGGCTCTGTGAACCTTCTAGTAGTATAAACAGCCAGAATGAATACAGTAGGCTCGCGCTAGTGTGAACACAAAAAAACCGGATATGTTTATATTATCGAAACGTTCACACCATCGAAGGTCTGCCTAAAAATGCAAAATACTGTCAGCAATGGTCTCTCAACTTAAAATTCAAGCAAAAAATTCAATGCAAACATATTCATTAAGTACATTTTCCCAGTTTTTTGATGAAAGTGAGATGTAATTTTTGTCTGAATGGTTCTGGCTGACCACTGGATGGCTACTTACTTCTTAGGCTTTCTGTGTCATTAACGCCAATATGGTCTTGCCTTGCTGGCAATCTTCTAGAATTTTTCACTTCTCATAAGGTCTGTTCTCACAAAAGTCCCTGACAGTTTGCAAACTTTCAGTATCAATCGCTAAGCTGAGTTACTGGATTTATTTTGGAAGGACAGAATTGAAAACATGCATGGGCGAAGCATTCTGACAGTTTGCAAATTGTCAGAGACTCTGGTGAGGAAGGACCCATAGGGAGTTGAAAAATAATTGTGTTTGTCTCCATTTTTACAAAACTGATTGACCACAACAACAACGATCTTAAGCAGCGTTTTCCTAGCAACGCACATTTTACGCGGCGTAGAACGTAATTCGGTCGGCGTAAAACGCTGAGAACATGTCTAATGAAAATCAAATGGCGGTGTTTTCCTACACCGCGTAAAAACGACTTGCGCTAGCGTAATACGGTCGACGCAACTGAACGACTGCTCGGAGAGCAGTCTATTCAGTTGTACGCTGCGTGTTGGCAAAGAAAATACTCCTGTTGTATTATATTTACATACCTCAATGTTAGGCCAAGCTTTTCAGGTGGCGAAATAGGATGTCGCACGCGATTACCATGATTCCTTACTTAAATCTTTTCTCACAAGATTGAGGAGAAATGAGATTTGCTGCCTTGTAACTATAAATTCAAATTTTACTTCGTCGTCGAGATGTTTATGGATAAGTATCTCTAAATGCTCCTTCGCTTCTTCTTTTTTGAAATAATTGACTAGCAGAATTTCTAGTCCTATCATAAATCGTAACTATTATATCAATCTCTTCTTGCAAATTTTCATCTTGTAATAATAGGGCTGTTTCTGCAGAAATAATAAACCAGTCAGAGTGAATTTCATTGGTTGAAACTAGTTTTCTGACTGTTTCTGATTCTTTTCAACCAATGAAATTCGCTCTGACTGGTTTGTGATTTCTGCAGAAGCAGACAATAATAAAGCCTCGAATAAAGCCAAAGCTAATTTCTCGAGTAATTTCTTTATTGATATACTCATCGCGACGATCGGGACGCAACTGACAATCCTAGGAAAACACTTTTACGCAGCGCATTAGCTGTTGCGTTGCGTCGGCCGTATTACGTTCTACGTCGCGTAAAATGTGCGTTGCTAGGAAAACGCTGCTTTACAGACTTTTTAACGTGCTCTTGACGCGTTGCCACTTGTTTATTACATGTGTATTCCACATTAGAGTGAATGCAGTAACCTAACATATCTGTGCGTTTATTCGGGGAACCCCAGAATCGGACGGAAACATCCGATGAAAACAACAATTTTGCAGAAAGCGGTTACATTCGTGGTCAAATACATTGTTCATACTACCGAGCTTCTCAAAAGTTCACCCTACAGAATATATAATGTATCCATTCTGGCTGTTCATACTACTGGGAGGTTCACAGAACCGTGTGTTCACACTATCGCGAGTTTACTTTACTATAGTAGTACATTGTAGTGTGAACTTTTGAGTATCTTTGTAGTATGAACAATGTATTTGACTACGAATTTAACCGTTTTCTATCTACTTGTTGTTTTCGTTTGATTCTGGGGTTCCCCGAATATTTCGAGACAAGGAAGCACAGATATGTTAAGTTACTGCATTCGCTAATGTTGAATACACATGTAATAAATAAGTGGCAGTGCGAAAAGAGCACGGTCAAAAGTCTGTAAGTTTTTAGTTTGTTTATTGTTGTGGTGGTTAATCAGTTTTCTGAAAATGCCAGGGTGACTTAACATTGCATAATTATGTTATTTTTCTGCACTAGTGGGGAAAAGTTATATTTTCATTGCCTAAAATGCGTGCAGAAAAAAGCACTTTTCGCACGCTCGCGGAAAAAAAAAATCGTCTCCGGCGGCACAGTTTGCCCCTAGAGATTAACAAATTTATAGAGTTATTCTCCTGCACCCATGGGGAATTTCAAAAGTCGGCGCCTCTGATTTTGTCCACTCATGATATTGTAAGAAGTCTTCCATAAGTCCATATCCAATTTCGATCGGGCTATTATGGTATGGTCGGTGTGTTCTCTTATCAGTTTAGTGACATTCCTAACGAAATAGATTAGATAGTTTTTATGATTTATAGATATTATACACAGTGGCGTAGCCAGCCTTGCGGGGCGGGAGGGGTAAACATATGAGGGGGCGCATAATTTAATTCTTCTGTGGAAAGGGGGGGGGGTAATAAATAAATGTTTGTATGCTTTTGTACTATTTGCTTATTGGGGGAAAATATTGAAGATGAAAATTTCCCCGGGTGCCACGCCCAAAAAGTTAATTTTAAGCATTCCGAAAAACATTTTTGTATTAAAAGAAGTAATGTGTGGACATAACGTTAACTTAGAAAAATCCTCCCGGAAGCCTTGAAAATTAGAACAAATCCGTGGAAATCCGTAGGGATGATATAGCTCCTAGTTTGATATAGTCATTATCCTAACAAGTGCGGAAAGTTATACTTTCCCGCACGTGAACTGTCGATATTTGTCAATGATATTGCCCAGAACGTCTCATCGCACAGTTTATTATTCGCAGATGACCTCAAACTATTTAGAATAATTAATAACTTAGAGGATTGTAACGAGCTGCAGAAAGATATTGACGCACTTTCAGGTTGGTGTCAAAATAACAAATTATATCTAAACATCAATAAGTGTAAA